TGCCAAGAAACATTACTGTAGATTCGAGAGCTTAAAACTTTGTTCATTATCAAGAATTCAGCCTTAAGTTCTTTCTGGAGTGAAACAGTAATATAAATAAGTTAAAAAAGTCATCAAGCAATTTTTTTCTCCTTCAAATTTCTTATTTTCTAGGAAGTCAATCTCTATTTTCACACAGACCCCATATTCTCATCCTGTGGTACTTTAAAAGCACAAATACTTCTTACCACTTAGAGTGAATAAATAATTCAGAGTAACATAATATCAAGTGTAAGACAGAACTAATCAAACATCTTGCCCCTTGAGAAGTATCTTCGAAAGAAAACACTGAGGGACAATTTTATGGATTCCTGTACTTTTTCCAATACTGTCAAAACAATAAGAAACATTCCTATTTCATCTTGTCTTTTTGGAAAAGTCCCATTTGATCAACAGGGTTGCTCTGGTGTTCAGTAATGCACATGAAGCCCAGACAGCTCCTGCAGTTTGCCAGGCAATAGAATATACGCTAAAAGGAGCTTAGAGGTCTTCTAGCACATCTTCTCTAGGGAATGATTGCAGCAGAATTATGCTAGAAATGAGAGATTTATCTCACTTTAAAGACCAGCGGAGAAAGGAATTCTATTCTTTTCTTAGCAATCCATTTCAGTGCTTAACAAGCCAAACAAGAAATTTATCAAGTATATTTTATCCAAATCCTTTGAACTGAATTTTTTCTGTTATCAGTGAAAATAGAAAGCTGCTAATGACTGTCATCAGTGTGAGAGCACTTCATATATTTCGACAATGTAAGAAAAAAAAAAGCTCTTATTTATGATGAATATCTTAACCCCTTTGACCTAGCCGTTCTCAACTGGGGGCAATTTTACCACCAAGGAATAGTTGACAATTTCTGTAGACATTTTTAGTTGTCACAGCTGGAGAGGGAATGCTACTGGCATATTATGGGTAGAGGCCAAACATGGTGCTAACCACTCTACAATATACAAGACAGTGTATCACACACACACGCAACAAAGAATAATCCCCGGGCCGGGCGCGGTGGCTCAAGCCTGTAATCCCAGCACTTTGGGAGGCCGAGGCGGGTGGATC